AAGAGTGCGAAACGGGAGAGTCTGTCCGTCCCCAGGCTGGGGGAGCCCTCTGCGTTTGACGTAACTCATTCCCACAGGCTCTGCTCTGCTGTTACCCATGTTTGCCAGCGGGGCGCTGAGGGTGAAGGGAGACGGTCCCCGGGTAAAGAGAGGGTCCAGGCGTCAGGGTGGACCCACCCACACTGGACTTTCCTGGAATAAAATCCAGAGAAGTCTACACATGCTGGGAGCAGGTGGTGAGATGCTCAGTGGCCGACCTGGACAAGTGACAGCGCGTGCCAATTGCCTTTGGAGGGTCAGCGAGGCCGAGGCCCCTTGCTTCCAGGAACAGCCTACAGGGCGGCCCCTCATTTCACAAGAGCTGGTTTCTAATGCAAGATATGCCTCCGCCCCTTCTTCACAGGCAGCCTTACTTGGAAGCAAATGATTTAGTGTTCCTGAGAGAGGATTGTACAAAGAGAGTACTCATTAGAGGGGGCTCAATCTGTCAGGTGCTGTTATATTAGGATCAGAGAGTCATCATAAAATGACTTTCATCCTGGTCCTGGCTGGTAATTAACTGCATGGCATCGCCTGCGTACTGGGAAAGAGGCACCGTGCTGAAATATGCATCGGTTTAATGATCTGAGCAGAGAGACTCGGTTCCCTGTACTTGCCTCCACTGCCTGCGTACGGATCTCTCCCCCATATTTCTGACATTTGGATTTTCCCCCTACTAATTGACATGCCTGTCGCCTCCTTCTCCTGGTGTCCATTTCTGGAACTGCTATTTGTATATTGCATGAGGTTTTATCAGGGAAAAAAATAAAACTGAGATCCAATTTCACGAAAATGCTGTTGCCATAATGCTCAGGAGAACGGGGGGAAGAGAGAGATTCAAGGCTTCCTAATGTCTACCTTACATGCAGGTACATTTTCAAAGTTCTATTGTATTCTGACTTATTAAGCAGTGCATATTTTTTTTCTTTTACATCTAGCTTTCATTGCAGAAGGGGGTTGGGAGAATGAGACAGCTAGACGCTGGATGGAATTCATATATACCAGGGCTGTAGGTCTCAGAAAGATATTACAACCCTCAAATTTCTTAGGCATGAAAAATATAAGTAGTCACTTGATTATATTTGCTTTATCTGTGTTTTACCTGAGACAGATGGCTATACTGCAGTGATGCTTTCAGGCTGCTCCAAGCCTCAAATCTCTACGCACAGCAACTCGAAAAATGGAAGGAGGTTGCCTAAGGCTGAGGTGTTTAGGATCAATTGCTAGTCAGTTTCAGGTTTGACTTAAATATCTCCTGCTATAAAATCACGGAATGGAAGTCTTCCCATAGTGCTTTGTGATACAGCTTCAGCGTATACAGGTGTGCACTGGGTTCCTACACTGTTACCTACCTATCTAGATATCGCTGGAGGCTTTGCTAACCTTTCATTACCTACTCTCTGATAATATTCTTTTCATCCTCTGTGCTATTTTTTCTCTCCCGAGGCTTGTGAGCAACGCTTGTATCACAGCCTGCTCCGCCTGAGTAATTCACTAAGAAAGTCCCACGCAAGCGCATGTGGGTGATAATATTTCATCACTTAAACCTCTCTTGAGCTCGGTGGACACATACCCAAGGGAGAGGGAAAAAAGGGCCTGAAAATGGGTAGGAGGGATGACTACTGCACCTCATAGGGAACACCTCAGAAATGTTGCCGGATGGGAGGAAAGACTTTGGAAGGCTGGAAGGGGAAAACACCTGAAAGCACGTTTTCCTTTGCTTTTGTGCTTTCAGAATTTTTCAAGTGTTTTTAAGAACTCACTCACTGAACCGGCATGCCAAGGGTTAAGCGGCCAAGCTCCTGGCTGTTCCCCTCCGCCCACATCAGGATACAAAATGCTGCACATCCTTCCCACAGCCCCCCTCCAGCATCTCAGGTTCACGGGCGCCTGAACAACTCCAGTGAAATAAGCAATAGTAACAAGCAGTGTTTCATTTTTGATATGGTTTTTTCCTCACCGGGGTCCTGCTCAAAGTATGCTGCCCTTCTCCATGTGGGTAATGATTACATCCCTAATGTTAATGTAAAGAACCTTGTTGTTTATGGAGAAGTTAAAGTCACCATGGCGGGTGGAGGGAAGCCTCGGCGTAAAACGCGACTATGACTTTAATTTTCCGTCCTTCACCAAGGTTTCCCTGTGCCTAGACGTGGTATAGTCATTGGTGGGAGAATACAGAGCTACCATGTGTGTTCCCTGAAGCACTAATTTTGCATTTGGACTGTTTCCAGGGGTTTCTGCAAAAAGCAGCCAGTGAGGCCTTAAAGGTTATGCCTCCTTTAACCTACAGGAGAGGGTCTTGCCTGTAGCAGAACTACAAGTTCGGTTATAAATTAGCTTTTGATTATTTTTTTAGCCTGAATATCTTTTCTTAGGATGTGCTATTGAATTGTAAATACTAAGCCACATTCCTGCATCTTTCGTTTAAGGGCGATGAAAAGGTTTAAATATTCAGAGAGAAAGGGATTTTAGTTTCCTAAAAGAAGTAGAAAAAAATTCTGAAGGTTCAACCCACAGTCTTTCAGAGACTTCTTTCAAAGTTCCTGAGAACTCTTACACTATGGATTTTGGAGCTAGGAAATCAGTTGGGTAGGAAGCATTCTGAACTACAGCTAAGAGATGGTGCCTGAGTATGTTTTAGCAGAAGAGGGGGCAAGACGAATACGTGTTTTCAGGAAAAGTCCTGGGAAGGTACGATTCCTGGCTCACCAAATATGAAAACTGCATTTCTACCCTGACGCTCTACCCACACCCCGACCCCAATGCACCTCCTCCACCGGCCCAAACCACTAACACGTCTCTTTTCACATCTTTTCCCAACCATTTCTCTCTAACACTCCCGGTTCAGAAACAAACACATACTCCAAAGCCATAAGCTCTGTTCCCACAAGGTGTTAAGTAAATAGACTTTCTCCTCCCTGTTCGAAGTCACTTGTCATTTGTCGCTGTTGAAAGCCGTTGATAAGACAGGACAACTAGGCAACCACATCAGGGGAGATGGAAGAGGTTTTTTTTGTAAAAGCCCAGGCGGCCGTATTAGGGAGAGATGTGTGAGCAAAGCAGTATTGCTGATGATTCATGGTCACATTTCTCCCCGCTCTGCTTTGTTTGCTTCTGAAATTTATCATTCCTCTGTCTTCCATAGAGCTCCGGAATGTTCACATGTAACACTAGAATTCCCATTTCCTTTCCTTCTGTCTCATTTAAAATGTTACAGGTAGTAGTCATGTCCCTCCCAACCCATAAAATCCTAACTTTTCCTGCAGAATGATAGGAAGGAGGGGTTAGCTGATAATCACCAAGATTAGGGCGATTCAGGCTAGGGCTTCCAGTAGGTGAAATTGTGTTTCCCTAAAAGATTAACTCGTTAAGGAGCAAAAGTCTTTGGAATGCGCCCTCTTGTGGCCGATCATTTCCCATTATTCCGCGAAGAAAGTGTGTAACCCCTAAAGACACCCTCCAGTGAGGGTGAACTCCCAGGCAAGTTCAGAAGACTGGCGTGGGGTGATGGGAGTCAACTCCACCTTGAGACGGCTTTCTTGGGGTGGAGGAAAATAGTCATCCCAGCAAGCTGCCTTCGACCCCTGTTTGGGAACATTTGTGTACATTTCTAACTCAAAGCTTCTGTACCTAGTATCTTCCAAGGGAGGAGCTTTATGTGTTGCTTTCAAACCCACATGGCTGGGCTATGTGAGCATTTTCTATTTCCTGGTGCTTGATTTGTCTTTCTTCGCCTATCCATTCTTCAACAAGTGCTATCAATTGCTAACTTCATTACCAGAATCAGAGTATAAATTTGGCCTCATAGGAGGACTCAAGGATACAAGGGTGGAGGGCTCAAGGGTGCTTTTGACCAGCTATTGTCACAAATGAAAAAAAAGAGAGAGAAATTAAGAAGAAGATTAAGAAGACCAGTGATTTTGACTTCAGTGACAATTATGGTGAGAGTTGGCTTGGCCCTACCCATCTCTTCCTCCTTTCCTTTAAGGTGTTAAAGTAAACAACAGAGGATTATTCTGTTGCCAGCCTTGCAAAGAATACAGTCACCTCGGTGAGCAATCTGGGGTGACAGACTTGAAAATCATTTTTGTTTGTGGGAATACATGTCAGAGAGCCTGAGGGCAAGGATTCGCTGCTTAGTCAATAACAACTCATATCAGCTTTACGAAGATGGGGTGCTTTCCACCTAAGCACAAGGGGACAGACTCAGTTCAACAAGTTCCTGGCACTTGAGTTTTTGGAGTTCCTCAACTGCGGTGGCCATGTCTTGGCCTTATTCAACCATCCTGATGAGCAGAGGCCACAATTAAACAGGAATCCCCAAATGAGGAATCTTGAGGCCGAAGGATGCATCTAGGGGTGAACATCTGTGACATGCATGCAGGTGACAGATGACTTACTGACTGGATTCTATGCTGTACAGAACAGTTTCTAAAGAAAAGAAAAATGAATGCCCTTTGCTACCCGCCCCCCCCCCAGACGTTTGACGTTTGACGTCGTTTGAGCATTGCTAAGGTTGAATTGTTCCAAAAGTAACACGGTATTTTCGTATATTCACTACAGTCATCCTGAAGATAAATGCCTTTCCTGGGTCAGCAAAAGAACAGCAAAATACTCACATGGTACTTACTCTATTTGGAGAGTAGATTGTCCACAGAGCAGTCGTTTTTGTGAAATCATACAAAATCGACTTAGAGTTGAGGCGTGAAACTTCTCAAACGAGAACAAGCAAGCGCGTCATAAACCTTTTCTAAGAATCCAGCGGCTCACCCAAAGCCAACTTGTAAACTCAACCAGGAGGACTTTTGCAGTACAGACCTTAAACTTTAGTCAACATGTGAGTCAAATGAATCCACCTTTTCAAAAAGTAGCTCAATTTCTTTCAAACTAAACACCTACCAGAAAAGATCTTTTTAAAAATGACGAGATTTCATATAACTGAGAAAAAGATTGGCACTGAGATGAGGGCCATAAGTAAGAAAGAAGGTAAAAAGTCAAATTCTTTTACTGCAAAATCTCTCAATGCCAAGAGAGTGATTTGCTACACAAGTCAGAGAAGCCAGAAAGTGGGCATATTGCTAGCATCAGGCGTCGAGTTAAAAGTGGCCAAAGGCAGAGGTCTACCTAGTCATATGATGTGGGAAAAGCCAATTGAGGAAGAGCTGCAATTAAGGCCATTCTGTGTGGCAATTGGTATATAGAAACATATATAGGGTCCCTCTGTGGCAGGAGAAGCAGTCCCTAGACCACTGGAATCCCCATTCCCTGCTCAGGACCCCAGGAATGGTTGAGAAAAACTGGGTGGCAACTCAAAAACTCCAACCTGCCTTTTTCCACTCAATAAGCTTCACAAGATAAAGTCAAAAGTATCATGTCCTTTGCAGCTGCATCCAAAAAAAAAAGCTTTAAGCGAAGGAAGTCAGACATTCTTGAAAAGAAAGAAGCTTCTGGTGAGACAGCTAAACTGCCCGCAGGACACCAGGGCTTTTCCTACAGGAAGCCAGCAAGCCTGCAAGCTATCTCCCCCAGAAGGATGCCCAGGTCTCTCATGGTTTTCTTGGAAATATAACATCTGAGTCAACAGGTTTTCAGGACTGGAAATTGAGTGTTGCCTTAATTGTTTATACTACTGCGGCAAACTTTTAAACAGCAATGCTGGGAGTCCCGGCACATACTTTACTGGCCATATGCTCCACCAAACAAAACAATGGCATTCCTTTCAAATGGATTTGGCAAGGGAGACAGTTCTTTAGCCGGGCATTACCAAGAAAGTAACATGAAATTAACACATCTGTGTGCCTGGGCAGCATGCGGGGGCTTGTAGGCTGGCAAAAGGATCTGGGTCACCTAACTGTAAAAATAACCTGGCCCCCAGGGTCTCCGGCCCGCCCTTTTGACAGGTAATTTTTTTCTTCAGCAACAGGTTAGCTCGGTCCTGAGCCAACGATGAGAATCTATTTATTAAAGTTCTTCCTCTTAAGGATTGAGGGAGCGCTCAGCGTAGTATCTGAGAGCACTTTGTCAAGGTTGCATTCCTTGGCCGAGAGCTCTTAGTAACTTTACAGAGAACAAAACTCTTTTTTTTTCTTTATTTTTCTTTTCTTTTTTTTTGGTTCAGAGAGCAAAAGTCAGTGCTCCGAAAGGGACTGCTGGTTCAATGTCATCTGTTCCCTAACCCCCCAGCCGCCAAAGTTGCTTTTCGCTGCCTAGAATGTGATGCTGTGCTCTTACAGGCAGAATTTCTAAAGGTCAAAATGACTGTCACTAATATGCCCTGCTTCTCGGATGTGGCCCCTGACTGGATTTTTTTTTTAAGAAAAGGGGTTGTTTTTAAGACAATGACTTCATCTGTGCCATGCCGCCCCGATCCCGCGCTCGCCGCCCCTCCCCTCCCCCCAGTAAAAACTTGGGATGGGGTCCGGAAGCCTCCAGGCTCCCCCCGACACCCCCTCCCCCCGGCCAGCACCCGAAAATGCCCCGGCTTTCCTCCGGGCTGCTCTGATCTGGTTTCCCCGGCAGGCCGAGGGAACCTCTCTCAGAGCGGCTTCCTGCTGCAGATCCGGCCGAGAGCTTTTCCTCCCGGGCGACTGGCTGAGATACGCAAGTGTGACCTAGCCACCTCCTGCCGGGGCTCAGCCCAGGAGCCCGGCTCCGTGCGGTCCTCTCCCCCTCCCCTGCCGTCCCCTAAGAACTCCTGACCTTGCCCGCCAGGGTACCCCCGGAGGGCAAG